TTAACCAATCCTGCATGGCGGGAGAGTTTGGCATAGTACTTATCCCGCATGGCGGGAGAAGAATATGATGACTCATGTGCTCTAAGTGTATCCCGCACATGGAGAGAAGTTTGGGATAGCTCTTATGCTATCCTAGTATTGACCGTACACTCTGATTGTGTCATGGTCATTAAGTACTCAATGAGTTTAAGAACAAAAGAAAGTTGCATGTGAACCAAAAGAAAAGAATGATATGCAAGCGTGACTTGCAGAAGTATTGATAATAATAGACTATGTTGAGTTTTGAAGTGTAATGAGGAAAATATACTCCCATACGAATTTTGTTTGCATGATGTAATCATGTGGATGAAGTAAGTAATCAAAGTTTCCTCATTAACAAGAGTTCTGAATGTTTTTCGAAATTGTGGTAGAAAAGTTTATACCACATTTTGAGGGGGAGAAATGTAAGATTAATTAAGAAAGACAATTAAGAAAGATACTTCCCCATACTTCAGATAATGCAATGCATACTATACATTGAAGGTAAAAGTGATCTATAAAAGATGAATGTGATCGTTGAGGGAGTAAGACGGTCATAATAACGATACCCCTAAAGTAAAGAAATAACTAAATTCCTAGACCTTTTACAGTTCCGATAGGAAGATAGCATAGTCGGCTAGTATTCATACTGGACGACGCCATATGAGTTTTTAGCAGATTAAACCCAAAATAAGAAATTTGAAGATACACCATCTTTACAAAAGATGGAGTAATCTGGAGGAGCATGGTATGATACCTAAGGCTTGAATAGAAGTGGGATTACATATCCACTACATTGTTTTAGAGCAACAAATTGCTTAATACATGTTGATGTTGTATGACATATACAACACCTGATGTTAGCTCTTAAAGAAGATAAATAAGTAAATAAGGATCTTATGATACAGGAGGCTATAGAACAATTGCCTTTTGGCAATGAAGAGTAACAATAGCCTCATATGAAAGAAGTGCCATGAGGCCCCAGAAGGTCTCAAAGAATAAGAAAATCAGATATTTCTGGTGACTAAGAAGTTAATGTTAAGAAAGAAATTCAAATAGAGGGTAATTCCACCTCAATTGAAAAAGCCATGAGTGGCGTTCACTCATCTAAATGGCAAGAAGCAAAGGAAGATGAAATGAAATTGATAAATACCAACGATGTTTGGGACTAAGAAGAAATTCCCAATGAAGCCAAAACAGTAGGCTGTAATGGGTTTGCAAGACAAATGTGACTCCAAAGGGAATATGGAAAGCAATAAAGCGCCACTTGTGGCGAAATGATTTACACAAAGAGAAGGAATAGATTATAAGGAGCATGCAAGGATTCTTTTAGAATCATAATGGTGTTAGTGGCACATTACAATTTACAGTAACATCAGAAGGATGTAAAGACACATTCCTCAACAGAGATTTGTATAGAAAAGTTTACATGGCATAACTCAAAAGGTTTTGTCGTGAAAGGAAAAGAACGTAAGGGATGTTGCCTAAAGAAATCCATTTATGGATTAAAGCAAGCTTCAAGACATTGGTACTTGAAGTTTGACAGTACAATAAGAAAGTTTGGGTTTAAAGAGAAAGTAGAGGACAATTGTATTTATGCAAAGTTTAAACATGGGAAATTTATTTTCCTAATCCTGCATGTGGGTAGCACCTTACTCGCTAGTAGTGGTGTTAATCTACTGTTGGAGAAGAAACAGTTCTTGTCCTCAAGTTTCAATGAGAATGATCTTGGTAAAGCGTCATTCGTTCTAGAAATTGGAACTTACCGAGACAAAAGAAAAATGGGTATTAGAACTATCTCAAGTGTATACTTAGAGAAGATTCTAAAGAAATAAAGTATATATATGAGTAAACCTGCGCCTATTCCTATAGTAAAGGGAAATAGTTTTGGGAACTTTCAATGTTCCAAGAACCAATGTGAGATCGAAAGGACGTCCTATATGCTTCAGCTGTTGGAAGCTTAATGAGTGCTTATAAGTAAGAACTTACCCTGACATAGTTCATGTATCCGGGATGTTTTGACAGAAGTCTAGTCCAGATATAGATCACTGGAATAGAGTTGAGAATGTTTTGAAATTGTGCAAAGATTTATAGGCCTCATGGTGAGTAAGAAAGAATAAGTACTCTCAAATAGTTATGGGTACAAATGTTAAATTTTGGCGAGATGTTTAGTGAAACCCACATAGTAGCTAACACTCGCAGTTGAAGTTTTATTGTGGAAAAGCTCCAAAGAAACAATTGTGGTGTCATCAAAGATGCATACCCACAGTATAGCTTGTTATGAGGCTTAAGGACAGGCGAAATAGTTAAAAGAACTTACACACGGAATTGATAATGGTATTCAACAACAATAACCATTTAAGTAGTTCGCTCCTATAACAATGGGTCAAGTGTGCTGCCAAACACATTGTCGTTAAAGTTATACGTTGTGAAGGAGAAAGTCCGGAATCATACTAAAAGTATTGAACATATAAGTAACAAGCAAATGCTTGCGGATCCACGTACAAAATGCTTACCACCCAGTGTGTTCAGAGAACACACAGTCGCCATGGGTTTAAGGGAAAGCCTATGATTTCCGGACAACAAAGGGCCCAAAGTTAAAGAATCTGTTTCAGAACAGGGACGTGTATTGTAGCTGTTAAATTTATCGGCGATTGACCGTGACGATGAAGCATGCTCTATGCACCAATCTGTGATGGAACAAATAAAAGTGAAAGGGATTAAAGTCAAAGTTTAAAGTTAAAGTATGAGTTGAGATCAAGGGGGAGAATGTTGGTTTGATCTCCCAACCACAGTGGCCCGACGGTCACTTGGGCCTTGACCTCGCGCCCTGATCGGAGGCGCCCAGTCCATCTATGGCTGGCGGGCCCCTGTCACACTGCGCATTAAATAGAGGTGGGGGCCAGCGGCTCTCAGCACGAGGTTGGCCTGAGCCGTACGCCCCACCGAAAAACCCTACTTCGATCTAACAGAGGAGCGCAGCCAGTGACGGGAAGCACCACCGCCGCCACGGCACTGCGCGACCACGGTCTTCACGCCGGTCTCCACTACGGTGCCCTTCTTCTCCGACCGCCGCCGCCTAGCGCAGAACTTTACCTACACCGGCGCCATGGCGATTACTTCCTTCTCTGCCAAGCCCGAAGGTATGAGTCACCTTCTCTCTGTCTCCCTCTGAATCTCTAAGTCACTGATTATCCCAAATACAAGTAAACACCCACTGGATCCACACCTAGATAGTCCAAAGTATATAACACTTTCATGCAACGTGTTGTCCAGCTTTTCTTTTAGGAAGTGCGGCAAGCTTACACACGTACCTGGCCTTTTTATCTGTGAAGACAAGAGCAAGCAGGGGGTGTGATGTCCAACCTCACTTCATGCATCAACCATAAATAAGTAGTAGTACTACTAGGCTTAATGCTTTGAGTAAATTTCTGTGATGTAAAATTTATGATGAAGTTCGTTTTCCAAGCTTCATTTACAGGGCAGTCCAATTTTCAGTTTGTAATTGTAACATCAGGTACCAGACGCCCTCTAAGGTCCTGTTTGGTTGGGCTTTTGGCTTTGGCTTTTGGCCCCAAAAGCCAAAAGACCAACCAAAGGGGCTGCTTTTGAAGGGTGCTTTTTCAGAAGCAGCTGCTTTTCCGTAGTTCATTTTTGAAAGCTGGGTTGACCCTGCTTTTGGCTTTTGGCTTTCTGCTTTTCGAAATTGGTGGAATAAAAAGCTCTTCCATAGTTGTTTCAAGAGAGATAAAGATAAAAGGTATATTTTATACTTGTTTAACCAAACAGCTTTCAGCTTTTCTACAGCTCACGGCCCACAGCAGCTTTTCCACAGCTCACAGCCCACAACAGCTTTTTTCCACAGCCACAGCTCAACCAAACAGGGCCTAATTTTTGAAACCGGAGAAATAACTTTGGTCATCCAGATAGTTTCAAAGACCGTTTTCAATTTTATAAATTAATAAAAATCAGTTTTAATTTACAAAATCATAACTGATTTGTCTTAAATAAAATAAAATGAAATTGGTGCCATTTTTAGAAAATGTTATTTATTTGTCTCTCCTCACCAAGAGCATAAGAGATTTTTTTTCTTTGGCGCAATGAGGAAACAAAGGGACCTTTTGCAATATTCCATCGTGATGGACCGAACACTACCGGAAACCAAGATTTCCCTGTCGGTATTGCCTTCACCGACAGGAAAATAAGTATTACACGACAGGATAATTGTACATCTGACAGAAAAAAATCAATTTTCCTTTGTGGTTGCCCAATGCCTCCCAATCCCAGCATGCAGAAACACTATATCCACATCGCTCTCATGATCATTGTCCTCCTCCCCCATTCTTGTTCTCCCTCGGTTGGCCAACGGAAAAGACAGTTCTAGTTCTACACTAGTTGCAACTCGAGAGTATACATGCACGAGTTTCAACTCGAGAGTATATATACACGGAAGGCATGGCAGAATATTTATGGTGGGTGTTGATGCGCAGAGCAACTGAGTCCTTGTTTAGTTCATCTCCTAAAAGTTTACACCATATCCTATCGAATGTTTGGACATATGCATGGAGTATTAAATATAGACTAAAAAAATAACTAATTGCACAGATTGCGACGACTTTGCGAGACGAATCTTTTAAGCCTAATTAGTCCATGGTTTGGTAATAAAGTGCTATAGTAATACATTTGCTAATGATGGATTAATTAGGCTTAATAAAATCGTCTCGCAGTTTACTAATGGGTTCTGTAATTTGTTTTTTATTAGTATCCGAACACCCCATGCGACATCCCCATGTGACACCCGATGTGACACCCCAAAACTTTATACCCTGGAACTAAACATGGCCTGAGTTGTAAATGTTTGTCATAAATAAATCATAAAAGAAATGCATTCCTTGTCCAGAATCTAGAGCTGTAAATGTTTTCAGTCATAAATAAATGAACAATATTACAGCACATGGACACGATATGTTTGCAATTGGCGTTTACCTTCCGCCTGGATGCCCAATGTAGACAAGAACACTTACGATTCCCCCAGAACTGAGAATTCTGCTGGCAGCTTGGAATGCTAGATCAGTTGTTCTAGGCACTGTAATTACAGTTTTATCTCCTCCTGGAAGGTAGCTGAGGTTGAAACCAACAAGCCTAGAATGAATGTGCCATAGCGAATCAGCAAGTCTAGGATTGTTACTACTTGAACTGACATTTCCACTTTTTCAGATTTTTTTTTGTGAATTATAGTAGTACTAAATGAGTTGGAATTTTGAAATAGCAGTGAACCTAGGAAGGCCTTGATCACCTGACAGGAGCATCTTTGGGAATAATTTCTTCCAATCTACTATGACATATAGGAAATAGTTTTACTAGTCCCTGGCTCCCTGCTGCCACATAAAACAAATATAGTCACAAGTACAAAATATATTAAATATTCAGTGAGAAGATGAAGACCAACGCCTCCTCCACCCCTGCGAGGCTGCGACGGAACCGCACTCCACAACTTCAGCAAATTCGCCGACCAACGCCGACGTGAAGAAAAAACAGAAAGAGAAACCAAAAAAAAAAAACCCCAACCAAATTCAGGTTGCTAGAGATGTACCTCCTGGGCCGGCAAAGGGGCGTGTAGCAGCTGGGTGCTTGCCGGAGGAGAGGGGCTGGGGCTTGAGAACGGAGGAGGTGAAGAAGCAGCGACAGTGGAGGGTGCAGCGGCGGCGGCGGCATCGTAGTCTGCGACGGCGGCGGATGGCAACGTGCTCTGCTATTGGAAAAATGGCTGCGGCTGTAGTGAGGTCGCGTTCGCTGGATTAGAAATCAACGGAACAGTTTGTCTGTGAGCTGCGAGGCCGGAGAAAAAAAAAATACACCGAAGCTCAGAGGTGCTCGAATCATCCGGGAGGATGACATATCGTGACGACCCATGTGTCACAGAGCGTTTCATCATCGGTTCGGCCGAATTAGTTTGGGGTGAGAGAGGCTCGAACTCTCGACCTCAGGATAACTCAAACAGCTATGAGACCTACGCGCTAGCCAACTGCGCCACCACCCCGTTGTGGTAGCTGTGCAGATGAAATTCTATAAGCCACACACACAAGAACACAGCCCACTTTTTAAGTGATATTTGGCCAGAATTCAGTGTTCTGTTAAACAACAAGCTTGTGGTGACAAGTCAGATCATGCAGAACAAACAGCAAATAGTTGTATTTATTTATTTATATTAAAAAAGAAATGCATTCCTTGTCCAGAATCTATAGTTGTTAGTACACTCATAAATGTTTTCGGTGACAAATAAACGAACAATGTTACAGCACATGGGTACAATGTTTGCAATTAGTGTTTACCTTCCACCTGGTTGCCAATGTAGACAAGAACACTCATGAGTCCCCCAGAACTCAGAAGTCTGCTGGCAGCTTGCAATGCTAGCTCAGTTGTCCTAGGCACTGTGATTACAGTTTTATCTCCTCCTGGAAGGTAGCCCAAGTTGAAAGCAACAAGCCTAGAACGAATGTGCCACAGTGAATCAGCAAGTCTAGGATTGTTACTACTTGAACTGGCATTTCCACTTTTCCAGAAATTGTTTTGTTGACTTATAGTACTAAACGAGTTGAAATTTTCAAATAACAATGAACTTAGGAAGGCCTTGATCACCTGACAGGAGCATCTTTGGGAACAATTTCTTCCATTCTACTATGACATATAGGAAATAGTTTTACTAGTCCCTGCTGCCACATAAAACAAATATAGTCACAAGTTACTATGTTAAATATTCAGTGAGAAGATGACAAGTATCCTCTCTCTCTAGATACTAAGGTCAAATCCGAATGCCTTCTTGTTATTTTTAATCATTTTCTTGTTTCCTTCTTCAGGGGAAATTAGGTACAGACTTCATAGTTCAAATCCACACCTGATGTTCATCACCCACGGCCATTTTCAGAAACGAGGAAGTACTCTCAATCGCGGAATCTTGAATGTCCATCCCATAAACACGCCCACGGCCTGTTTCATCGGCCACCATCTTAAGCAGAGCGAGTGTGTCATTGCCATTCCCGCATGTGGCATCAACCACAGTATCCCCTTTTTGAACAATATTTCTCCACACCCTAACCATAAACAAACACACAAAATTAGCTATCGCCTATCAGAGAAACATGGAAATAGTTCTGCTTACGCATTTCACTTGAGTTACTGTATCTACAAGCAACTGAACAACGATTTACCTCTGCAGCAGCTCAGTAAACATAGGGCTACAATTGTTCTAGGTGGCTATTTACCTAGCTTCATAAGAATTCCATGCTGCTAATTTCAGCGTTGGATGAGAAGTTTACAGTATACACATTCTAACACTTAATCAACAATGGGGGATTAGTGCCTACGCGTGGGCTTCCTTCGGTGGCCTTCCTCTTACCGGTGACGAAGCCCACCACCGCCTCCTCCACGCCAGCGACGGAAACGCACTCCGCAACTTCAGCAAATTCGGCAACCAACGCCGACGTGAAGGAAAAACAGAAAGAGAAACCAAAAGAACCAACCAAGTTCAGGTTGCTGCGCCGTCGCGACGCCCGCGGCGGCGAGCTGTGCAGCGGAGGCGCGAACGGAGAAGTGCCTCCTGGTCCTGCAAAGGGGCGCATCGCAGCTGGATCCTCGCCGGAGGAGAGGGGTTAGGGTTTGGGAGCGGAGGAGAAGGTGAAGGCGCAGCGATAGTGGAGGGTGCAGCGGCGGCGGCGGCATCGTGGCGGGCAGCTGCGAGTCTGCGACGGCGGCGGATTGGCAACGTGCTCTGCGATTGGAAATGGCTGCGGCTGTAGTGAGGTCGCGTTCGCTGGATCAGAAATCAACGGACCAGTTTGTCTACGAGCTGCGAGGCCGGAGGGGGAAAAAGGAACAGAAAAAAATTGGGCCGAAACTCAGAGGTGCTCGTATCATCCGCGAGGATGACAAGTCGTGACAACCCATATGTGTCATGGAGCATTTCATCAACGGTTCGGCCAAATTAATTAATTTGGGGTGAGAGAGGCTCGAACTCTCGACCTCAGGATAACTCAAACAGCTATGAGACCTACGCGCTAGCCAACTGCGCCACCACCCCGTTGTGGTAGCTGGGCAGATGAATGTCTTCTCATTCTTGATCCATGGAAACTCCAGCATAGCAATTAGCAGTTTTTAACTTTTTATTAATTGAACTCTCTCGCCTACCGTGCTAGACTGATAGTAGCGTCCGAATGAATGAGGGGTATGCTCCCACTCCTGTCTCTGATTAAATTAAATATTAGAGTAATCTTAAATTAATTTTCTTTTAAGAGTAATCTTAAATTATTTTTATTTTAAGTTTAACTAATTTATAGAAAAAGAATAATAAGATTTATAGCACCAAACTAATATCATCAAATACATGACAAAATATGTTTTTTTTCATAATATGATCATTTCATTATATATAAATATTTGTGTTCTTTTCTATAAATTTAGTCAAAAATAGTCAGCAAATATAAATGCGCGACATGTACATGTTTATAAAAACTATTTTAAATGTAATGAGAATATTAATTGAATTCTTGATATGTCAATTCATATATATCATCAACAATTCTTTGAGTACAAAAATATGACGACGAATTATTTATTGGATCCATAAATCATTAAAGATTTTTTTAAAAAAAATATATGATGTCGCTTGCTCACTGGTGCAAAAAAAATGAAGTGGAGATTGCAGACGAGGCGGTGCTCTACACGGTGATTTCATGACCAGGCAATGATGTAAGCATGACTGAATATGATTTCATGTATAAGATTATACACATACAAACAACATGAGGAATTAGGACTTTATTAATGATGTAAGATTGCTACTGACTACGTATCAAATTGCTACTGACAAGCCTTGCAACACCTTGCACTAATGCAATCCAACGGGAGGCGGAGGCATGCTTCTAGCCAAAAAAAAAAAAGTCGTTCTGACGTATGTCTTCTTAATTTCCTCAGCTTTATCATAATGCAGAGGAACATTCAAATAAGTACTGAAATAGGAAAGACACCTACTGGACACGCAAACATGATTGTGGAAAATAGAATGACTAGTATCTTCATCAAGGTCTATTGGAACGAGTTAGAAACGAATTTTTATCCTGGAGATCTGTTCAAACCACACTAGAGTTCACCTCAGATTTTGGAGATGGATAGGGTCTGCGTCTGAGAAGATAACAGCATCATCTGATATTACAGCGACATAATACCTTCACTCCTTTATTTCTAAAATCAGAGAGCAGACCTTTAATTGAGTCAGCCTCAGCGGCCTTAATTAACATCCTAGTCAGGACATCTCCAACGTTAATGAACAAAATGGGGAAAATAAGACAACAGACCTTTTCGTTTTTAGTCCTAAATCAAACCGAACTAACATAGTTTGATTCTGTGGAATTTGCTTCAAGACCTGCATTGCCACATTCCATCATTTCTCCAAGGAAAAAAAAAACAAATTAACTGATCAGGCTAGACCTACGTCTTCGTGGGCTGCGCGCTGCACGGTTTGACTTTTATGCTGGGCTTGATTTTTCGATCATTCAGTGTTCCCAGTCGTGTTCAGTTCGCTATATAGCGAAACCGTGCCTTTCGTTCCCCTCGGTCCGATTTGAATGTAGGGCAGCAGAGCTGCTCAACAATATTTTGTTTTGAGGAAACAGGAGGGGTTTGACCCCCTACTAAAATTTTATTAAAAATAAAAAGTCCAAAGAGCAGTACAAGTCTTCAGGAGACAAAGAAAGACAAGAAAAAATGAGCAAGATTACACATATCCATTGATCTATGGCTCCGTTCGCTTCGCTGAAAAAATAAGCCGAAATACTGTTCCGGCTGATTTGTTGCGAGTGAAAAACACTATTCCGGCTGAAAAAACAAGCCAAAAAGTTTCGATTATAAGCTGAAAAGTACGGATTATAAGACAGCCTGAAAAGTGTGGATGAAGTTCAGCCTTCGCTCTTAGAACAACTAAGGTGAATTCCTTCTTGAAGATGAGTTTACAGCGCTGGGCGGAACACCGTTGAATATTGCATCATTTCTTACCGACCAGATGGACCAGCACATAGTTACAATCAACTCCATGAAGAAAGGAAGGTGTAACTGAATCTCGAAGGCTTCCAGAACTATCAAACTCTAAAGTGTTGGGAGCCAGAAGTTGAAGGGTGTTCTAGCAGGCCCCCGCGAAAGGACAATGGAAAAACAAGTGAAACAAATCCTCTTCAATAGGGTGGGAGCAGAAAACACAATTGTAGTTGTCTAAAACCATGCCCCTTCGTCGAAGAGTCTGTCTGGTATTAAGCCTATCAACCATCAACAGCCAGAAGAACTTTCGTTTATTCTAACAAGAAGCCAAAGCCAAAGAAAGCCCCTATGAGCCTGTCGACTGCCAACTAAATGCTTATATGCTCGGGCTGAAACATAAGCCTTGGTACCCCAAGAATAGGACTAGACATCTGGTGATGGCTGGAGGTGAAGATTTCGAAGGATAGTCACAAGCTGAACAAACTGCTCATGTGTCTCAGTAGATAAAGGAAGGTGAAACATACTCTGAGGTTGAGGTAACAAAATAGCAGTCTTCAGAGTAATGAACCTGTTTCGACACAAGGAGTACAGCTCTAGAAAACGTAGGCTCAAAGAAGCACCATCCCATTGATCATGCCAAAGCAAGCAAGTAGCACCATCTCCGACTGAAATAACAACAATATCTTTGAATTGGCTTAGCAACTTCAGAGAATCATGCCACCAAAAGGAGCCCTTTGGTCTACTTTCAGAGTTAGGCAACCTATTGTTGGAAAATAAAGTATTCCAAATTAACTGAATCCAAGGTAGATTGACTCTATTGAAAAACTTGTGCAAGTTTTTTAGAAAGAGGCATTCAATCTGAAGCTTAAGATCATGAACACCCAACCCGCCTTCAGTTTTGGGCAAAGTGACTAAAGGTCAAGCTGCTTTAAATGGCTTTCTGCTATTAGGATCCGAGCCTCTCCATAAACAGTGCTTATGAAATTTGTCTATGTGCTTAATCACAGTCTTTGGAAGGAGGTAGGTGCACATGGCAAAAGTAGGAAGAGCAGAAAGTACATCATTGGTTAACTGCAGTCTGCCAACATCTGAAAGGAATGAAGAGAACACAGTGAGCCTTCTCTCACATTTAGAACCAAGTGGCTAGAAGTCTGCAACTGAAGGTTTTGTAGCACATAGTGGCAAACCCAAATATGTAAAGGGTAAAGATCCCTTGGTGCAACCCAGGGAAGCAGCCAATAGATCAAAATGAGCCTCATCCACATTTTTAGGCATCATCAAGGATTTGTCAAAGTTAACTTTGAGGCCAGAGGAGTCAGCAAAAGATTGAAGTGACTTGAGGTGAGCTAACTGAACCACATCTGCTTGCATCATCAAGGATTTGTCAATGAATTTGTTGTTCAACAGTTCGTTCATTCCATAAGGTCTTTGAGATATAATATTGTAGCTGTTGATTAATTCCTGATTGTGAGGATAAAATAGTATTCTAGACGCTATTTACCTTTTAAGGTTATTTTAATTTTTTTCGACCTTCTTTTTAAAATTAGAATTATTCTTCCCAAACACGTACACTATAGTACTATACATACTTGCATGCCTTAACGTGGGCTCCAGCCTCCAGCAGACTCATACAGAGCACCTGCCATCTTAAAAAGAAAAAAAAAGATCAGTTGGCCTTAGTTGGCTCATGCAGGATGCGCAAGTTGTTTGTGCCGCCGTTGCTGTGTTGTGGAGCTGTGCGGGCTGTCCACGGGAGCGCCTGCTCTGCTTGTCTAGCACAAAGCCTGAAAGCCAGCATGGATTTGTCTCTCGTCTCCTGCTCATCTGTGGGACGCGCCTGCGAACCACGAGGGCCCGGCTGAAAAATCCAACGAGGGGACTCCGCCAACACTAAGCTCGGATGCAGTGGTGCCAGTGACTCCAGCCTTGCTCACTATCGGCTTGCATAGAACTGGCAGTAATCATGCCAACATGTGCACAGGAAAACTAACATTAACGTAGCACCAAAAATCCGAAAAACTGAAACCCCGCTGCACCACTCCCGTCGTCCGTGCCGTCCATATTCCGCATGCATCCCAATCCCAACAGCAGATCGATTCTACTCCTACCATGCAGTCCGCTCCTCCCAATTATGTGGCATTTTTCATGCGACAACCAAGCAAGTTGACAACGAGCTTCTTCTATACTATACTATCAGTAACTACCGATGCTACTAGCAGTGACAGTAAGAAATGATACAAGTAGAACTGTAGTGCTTATTTATATGCGAGCTGGTTAGTCACTTTTATTTGACACCCGTTGTGACCCTAACTCAATGTTGTACTAGTATTTTAACTATTATGACCTACCACACTTAAATTTGTAACTTTTTTTTAGAAAAGGGAATATATTAATATCCCAGCTTCTGCATCGACCAAAGCATATAGCTGTTGCTTATTACAACACAAGCACTGCAATCCACGCAATCTCAAACACAAAATTTTTGATCTAAAGAAAAAAAATAGAGAAGTTTTCAAACTCGACATCTAGAGAGCAATTCTATTACTAAATCTCCAACCGTGTCTAGCAAATACTTCCATCGCGGTTGTCTCAATATTCCTACATCCCATCGTTATCATTTGGCTATCCTCCTCCTTTTGTAGTAGGGACCAGTACTTGGTCTAGTAGGCCCCTCTGAAGATAACCTGCAAATA